GAGGCTAGTTTGATGCTTGAAGGGGTCAGCAGTTGATAGTTAAGGCTTGTTTGATGCTTGAAGGGGTCAGCAGTTGCTAGTTGAGGCTAGTTTGATGCTTGAAGCGGTCAGCAGTTGCTAGTTGAGGCTAGTTTGATGTTTGATGGGGTCAGCAGTTGCTAGTTAAGGCTAGTTTAATGCTTGAAGGGATCAGCAGTTGCTAGTTAAGGCTTGTTTGATGCTTGAAGGGGTCAGCAGTTGCTAGTTAAGGCTAGTTTAATGCTTGAAGGGGTCAGCAGTTGCTAGTTAAGGCTTGTTTGATGTTTGATGGGGTCAGCAGTTGGTAGTTGAGGCTAGTTTGATGCTTGAAGGGGTCAGCAGTTGCTAGTTGAGGCTAGTTTGATGCTTGAAGGGGTCAGCAGTTGCTAGTTGAGGCTAGTTTGATGCTTGAAGGGGTCAGCAGTTGCTAGTTGAGGCTAGTTTGATGCTTGAAGGGGGTCAGCAGTTGCTAGTTGAGGCTAGTTTGATGGTTGAAGGACCAGTAATTGTTAATAGAGATAAATTGACGTCTGGAAAGTCAAGCTAGTTACTAGTTACTAGTTCGGTAGGCTGACAGGCTTTACTTGTTAAATATACATCAGACGGGTGACTAAAGTTAATTGTTTCATGGTTAATTACATCTAGCATTACAACACATTGATTGGTTACAAGGGTACGGGTGTGGGTACGGGTGTGGGTACTAGTGAGGGGGGGTTGTGGGGGTGGTGAGGAGGGGGGGGGGGGTGTGAGAGAGGTGTGAGGAGGGTGTGAGAGAACAGGTGAGAAGTTAGGCCATTAACACATGTCTGTATCACTTACACTGAAGAGTGGTGAAGAGGGAGAGACACATTGTTGAGACACATGTCTTATACCTACGATGGGGGATGAGACAGAGGATGGGGAGGCTGGGGATGGGTCATAAGACACCTGTATCACACCTATCAACACTTGTATCACACTTATCAACACCTGCACGCAGTGGCCAGAGCCGGGGGTTCCCTCCCGAGGCTAAGGGGACCGACACGGAAGGGTCCAAGCACCTTACAGCTGGAGGAAGAGACGAAACGCTTGTGGCAGTGCGAAGGAAAAATGGGCAGAGCGGAGAGCCCCCAACATGCAAGAATGTTGCTAGGTAGCATTGGGCAGGAGGCAGCCAAGGTCGGGGATATACACTCTCTCAGTCTCACTTTGGGAGGAAACCCGCGTCTTATACTAGTGAAAAGCATGCAAGAAAAAATGATCACAAATCACGCCCATTGCCGGAGGGAAAAAACCAGAGCAAGCAAAGTTGTGCATGAGAAGATCTGAGCCATGAGAGAGGGGCAGTGTGGTGGCCGGGAAGGTCCACCCAGGATTCGAACCCACGCGCGCTGTTAAGGGGGGCGGCTCACTTCGTATTGTCGTGTCATGTTAGGGTTGTGGTGTCATAGCAAAGTGTATGTGTGTTTGTGTCAGAATGCTCGTGATGCCTGTAGCATCAAACCTAACGCGTCGGTGCCAAGAGGTTAATGGTCCCCACATTGACCGTATCTGAGAGAATTTGCAACATTCAATACGTCAGTATGTCGATATGCAACTGTTAGGAAGCAGGAAATAATAACAACACATATATGACATTAACCACAGGTCAGTGTCGACGCTAAGAGTGCCACGACACACAGGTGAGTGCCATGACACACAGGTGAATGCCACGACACACACAGGTGAGTGCCACGACACACACAGGTGAGTGCCACGACACACAGGTTAATGCCACGACACACACAGGTGAGTGCCACGACACACACAGGTGAATGCCACGACACACACAGGTGAGTGCCACGACACACAGGTGAATGCCACGACACACACAGGTGAGTGCCACGACACACAGGTGAGTGCCACGACACACAGGTGAATGCCACGACACACACAGGTGAGTGCCGCGACACACTGCTGAATGCCACGACACACACAGGTGAGTGCCACGACACACAGGTGAGTGCCACGACACACAGATGAGTGCCACGATACACAGGTGAGTGCCACGACACACAGATGAGTGCCACGACACACACAGGAGAGCGCCACGAAACACACAGATGAGTGCCACGACACACACAGGTGAGTGCCACGACACAGATGAGTGCCACGACACACAGATGAGTGCCACGACACACACAGATGAGTGCCACGACACACAGATGAGTGCCACGACACACAGATGAGTGCCACGACACACAGATGAGTGCCACGACACACACAGATGAGTGCCACGAAACACAGATGAGTGCCACGACACACAGATGAATACCACGACACAGACGAGTGCCACGACACACACAGATGAGTGAGTGCGTGATACACAGGTGAGTGCCACGACACACAGATGAGTGCCACGACACACACAGGAGAGCGCCACGAAACACACAGATGAGTGCCACGACACACACAGGTGAGTGCCACGACACAGATGAGTGCCACGACACACAGATGAGTGCCACGACACACACAGATGAGTGCCACGACACAGATGAGTGCCACGACACACACATATGAGTGCCACGACACACACAGATGAGTGCCACGACACACACAGATGAGTGCCACGAAACACAGATGAGTGCCACGACACACAGATGAATACCACGACACAGACGAGTGCCACGACACACACAGATGAGTGCCACGACACACACAGATGAGTGCCACGACACACAGATGAGTGCCACGACACACACAGGTGAGTGCCACGACACACAGGTGAGTGCCACGACACACACAGGTGAGTGCCACGACACACACAGGTGAGTGCCACGACACACAGGTGAGTGCCACGACACACAGATGAGTGCCACGACACACAGGTGAGTGCCACGACACACACAGGTGAGTGCCACGACACACAGATGAGTGCCACGACACACAGGTGAGTGCCACGACACACAGATGAGTGCCACGACACACACAGGTGAGTGCCACGACACACACAGGTGAGTGCCACGACACACAGGTGAGTGCCACGACACACACAGGTGAGTGCCACGACACACACAGGTGAGTGCCACGACACACACAGGTGAGTGCCACGACACACACAGGTGAGTGCCACGACACACACACGTGAGTGCCACGACACACACACGTGAGTGCCACGACACACAGATGAGTGCCACGACACACACAGGTGAGTGCCACGACACACACAGGTGAGTGCCACGACACACACAGGTGAGTGCCACGACACACACAGGTGAGTGCCATGACACACAGATGAGTGCCACGACACACAGGTGAGTGCCACGACACACAGATGAGTGCCACGACACACGCAGGTGAGTGCCACGACTCACAGGTGAGTGCCACGACACACAGGTGAGTGCCACGACACACACAGGTGAGTGCCACGACACACACAGGTGAGTGCCACGACACACACAGGTGAGTGCCATGACACACAGATGAGTGCCACGACACACAGGTGAGTGCCACGACACACAGATGAGTGCCACGACACACGCAGGTGAGTGCCACGACTCACAGGTGAGTGCCACGACACACACAGGTGAGTGCCACGACACACACAGGTGAGTGCCACGACACACACAGGTGAGTGCCACGACACAAACAGGTGAGTGCCACGACACACAGATGAGTGCCACGACACACAATGTGAGTGCCACGACACACACAGGTGAGTGCCACGACACACACAGGTGAGTGCCACGACACACACACAGGTGAGTGCAAAAGTCAAATATCGTTGACAGAAGTCACAGGTCATTGCAAGAAGTCACGAGGTCGATGCAACAAGTCAGGACTCGTTGCAATAAGTCACAGGGCGTTTGGACAAAACACAAGATCCATCCCACAAGACACAGGTCGTTGTTACATGTCGGAGGTCGTTGAGACAGGTCGTTGAGACAGGTCGTTGAGACAGGTCGTTGAGACAGGTCGCTGAGACAGGTCGTTGAGACAGGTCGTTGAGACAGGTCGCTGAGACTGGTCGTTGAGACAAGGAGTTATCACATGTCACAGGTGTAATGAAAAATGCTTTATATATCTGTTGCAGCTTAAGTCATTCTATTGCAATATATATTTGTTTTGGTGCTGTTTGGCCGCCTCTCCAGTTTTTCAACAATCATAAATTAAACAAATTACAAACTTCTAATGAACTACAAAAAGGCATTCATTGTCTTGATTAATTATGGCTGTCTCATTTTAATACAAATTGAAATACGGGATTTAGATTGTGAGTGGAATTAGATCTATCTACGATAGAGAGAAACTACTTCCATGCTGGCTAACTTACCTCTTTGGTTCATGGTATTTAGTGCCAGTGCCAGGAGCTGTGGTAGGGAACCATGTGTGTAGATAAAGACAAATATTGTCTCTCAAATGTCAATCAACTCGTGTACAGGTTCCTGAGCCTTTCTGGGCTCTATCATATCTACATTTGAAACTGTGTATGGAGTCAACCTCCACCACATCACTGCCTAATGCATTCCATCTGTTAACTATTCTGACACTGAAAAAGTTCTTTCTAACGTCCCTGTGGCTCATGTGGGTACTCAGTTTCCACCTGTGTCCCCTTGTTCGTGTGCCCCTTGTGTTGAACAGCCTGTCTTTATTTACTCTATCAATTTCTTTGGGAATCTTGTATGTATATGTGTGTGTATGTGTATGTGTATCTGTGTCTTAGTGTGTGTGTGTATATGTGTGTGTATATGTGTGTGAGTGTATATGTGTATATGTGTGTGTGTGTATATATGTGTGTGTGTGTATATGTGCGCGCACGTGCGTGTGAGTGTGTATGTGTGTGTGTGTGAGTGAGCACATACGCGCGTGGGTCCTTGAAGGCGTAAAAGAGCGAATCGTTAAATAAAAAGACCAAGAAAAAATTAAATAATAATTGAGAAAAAAAATCAAAACACTTTTAAAAAAAGCAATCCAGCATGCTTTTCACTCGTATAATTCCGGCCGTCGCGTTGGGTCATAGGTACCTCATTTTCTACCTTGTTGGTGTCAATGCCCTTCGTCATGGCCCAGGTGGAGACGACATAATCCATCACCCGCTCTGACAGCGCCTTCGGCACCTCGTGGAGCTTCATAAACTCCCTCACGTTGTTCAGCATCTCGTGGTACTTGGCGGTAGCCGAGGTCATCTGCTGGATGATGGTGGTGACGTGGCCGAAGATGGTGGCGTAGAGGAGCGCTGTAAGGGGGAAGGGACGGGGAGAGAGAGAAAGGGGAGAGGGGTGGGGAGCGAGAAGATATATTCAGAGGGCATGACATAATAGGTTTAGGGAGGGCAAGAACATAGGTTCAGAGGGGGGCATAAATATAGTTTCATGGGCGTAAACATAGTTTCAGAGGGACGAGAACATAGGTTCAGGGCATAAACATATTCTCAGAGGGGTGAGAACACAGCTTCATGAGCAAGACAAACAGGTTCAGGGGGAAGGACTCAGATACCAGGGAAGTGAACACAGGTTCAGGAATGGTACCTGGAGATGACTTAGGGGATATATCCAAGGGACCTGTCCCTATGTTCTGGGATGGAAATAGGGGACACATACACATGCACACTATATGTATATATATTAAATGTAATGCCCTAATTATGCTCATTGAAAAGAACATTAACTTGATTGGCAGATGAATCAATATTATTTTGATGAAATCAATTCATCACATTGACACATTCTTGGGTCATCACCGTGTTGGCAAATTGCTATAGTGTTATCTCATCTGCTATCATGTACCTTCTTGTTTACCTCAGCCTCTTGCTTACCTCAACAAGACGCAAGACCAGTTCTTAAAACAGTGACCCTCCCCCCCCCCACACAAGACATTTGATGGGGAAGATTATACAAAAAGGTAGCCTTCTGGAGTCCTTTCTTGTTCACTGGTAAGGTCACTTGAGTGTATAGGCATCAGACTAGGCCTATGACTAGGCTGTAGAAGTTGTTTTTATTCTTTACATATACCTCGCCACTAGTCTGGCAGCCAGCAAATCTTGGGTTACAGCTAATTCAGCCATACCTTTTTTAGCACGGCAACTTGTGGCCTTGTGTAACCCATACGTGCGAAAAGCGACGTAATTAGTAAGAGGACAGGTTGCTCCTGATCCAAAGGTGGACAGCTTTCAGCCCACACTCAGCCAATAACAATTGGGATGGTGAGAAGGTTGCTAAATGCATCAACACAAAATATGAAAAAACTGACACAAAAAAATTGAATAAGTCCCGATTCGTACTAATAGGCTCCCGGATAACGTAAAAGTTGCTGGATTGTTTCAAGCGCAGGACAGACAAACAAATGAATGACCCACAGAAATCACAATAGCGTGATGCATCTAATGAACAAACCCACGAGGGTCGTGACGAGGGTTCGAACCTACGTCCGAGAGGATTCCCAGATGCTGCCTTAATCGACTGAGCTACGATCCGTTGGTAAATCAGGATGATTTTCCGGTTGCAATTCTTTTACCCATGTCGTAGCTCAGTCGATTAGGGCAGCATCTGGATCCTTTCGAACGTAGGTTTGAACCCTCGTCACGGCCCTTGTGGATTTGTTAAAGAAATTAATGATTGTTGTTGGATATAAATATAGGAGCTGACTTGCCAAGGCCAACGTGACTTTTGCAGTCTTCATGTAGATGCACAAACAAGTACAAAGTTTATAAGTAGCTTAAAGAAAACTGATGAAAGTACACATAAATCCCGTTATCATGATACATCAATGAACAAATCCACAGGAGTCAAAGTCTTTTAACCAGGTCGTGGTGCAGTCACCTAGGGCGCTCCTGAGAATACCCAATGCATGGGTTCGATCCCTCATCACGGCTCCTGTGGACTTGTTTTTTGATGAAAGTGGTCTTGAGAAATTAATTAGTACATTGCCGGTGGGCGGCCCAGACACACATGGACATTAGGAAGTGTCAAGGAAGAGTAGGACTGGACGTGTGGGATGGGACGTGTGGAACTGGACGTATGGGACTGGACGTATGGGAATGGACGTGTGGAACTGGACGTGTGGAACTGGACGTGTGGAACTGGACATGTGGGACTGGACGTGTGGAACTGGACGTGTGTGGGACTGGACGTACCTGCAATAATCATCATGCAGATAGTGAAGATCTTCTCATTGTCCGTCTCCGCCGCGACGTTGCCAAACCCGACGGAGGTCATGCACGTCATGGTGAAGTAGAGAGATGTTACGTACATAGTCTTCTTGCTGGGTCCGTTGATGAGCTCCAGCGTGTTGGAGCCGTTGGAGACGATGTAGGCGTAGGGGGACTGCGTGACATTGGCCAGCTTCCACAACCAAGAGTACTGGATCCCGTTGTCCGCGTCGCTCTTACCTGCTCGAAGGGAAAAACACTCGCGTCAGTACGTAAATGAAAAATACATAAAGTCAATACGCAAAGGGAAAAAAAAACACTTGTATCAATACATAAAGGAAAAATACGTAAAGTTAATACGTAAAGGGAAAAAACACTTGTGTCAATATGCAAAGGAAAAATACGTAAAGTCAATACGTAAAGAGAAAAGCACTTGCGTCAATACATAAAGGAAAAATATGTAATGGGGAAAACACTTGCATCAATACGTAAGGTAAAAATACGTAAATTCAATTCGTTAAGGAAAACACACTTGCGTCAATACGTAAAGGAAAACACACTTGCGTCAATACGTAAAGGAAAAATACATAAAGTCAATACGTAAAGGGACAAAAACACTCATCAGTACGTCGGCCTAGACGCATCTCTCTCCAAAAATGCTAAAAAAAAAATCTTCATCCCATTCTGAATTGAGATGAAGAACATATCCCTCCCTGCAGGGATGTTGGTTGTCTAAATTCCTTCCAGCATCAGTGAGGTGTTATACACTGTAGACAATACATATCAGGAAGACATTTATAAAAGGTGGTGGCCTAATTATTCAGCTTTTAATATGAAATAATGTGTGTCTGTGGTTATTTGTGAGTTAAAATGCTATCAGGAAACTTCCGAAAATGGTTTGGGTTGCAACACAGGTTAGTTCAGGTTCTATAACGGCATCAATGTGTGGCAGTGGTAGGGCACCTACCTGTGTGGCACTGCTGGAACCTATGTAGCACTGCTGGGGCACCTACCTATGCTGTACCAGATGCAGGCAAGCCAGTGCGCCACCAACATATAGAAGCAGAGGAGGAGTATCAACATGGCGGCTCCGTACTCCAAGTAACGGTCCAGCTTCCTAACTACTCGTCCCAGGCGCAACAGTCGAACCACCTTTAACGCCGAGAATAACGACCCGATGCCCTGCAAGGTGAATGGTGGTATCAGGTCCTTACCCACATCTCGATGAAGCATGTAAACAAGGGATTATATACAGGGTCCCTATCCGAAGGATCACTTGGGAAACTCTTTTAGGGTCAAGGTTTCTCGGTTCCTGTGATGATTAGATTTGAGGATTTCCTTGTCATGTTTACTCCTTGTGATGTGGATGTCGTCTGTAACATCGCTGGGAGGGCCCGCGCTTCTCTTTCTTAGGCTGGGACGGCAGTGGAAGAGGACGTGTATGTGGAAAGGCACTGTCTGTTCCGGGGACAAATTACACTCTAGGTGAGAAAGGTTCTGCAAGAATAGTAAGTCTTACTAAAAGTTTATAGTCAAATTTAGGGACCGAGTAGAAATTTTTCTTCAAGTTTAAACGAGTGACGACTCGGAAGGTTTGCCGCCATACTTCAGAACAATGTCGTGTGGCCATATGTCCTCCTTATGTTCCCCAACGTCCAGAAAACGGTCAAATTAAAGTGTCCTTATTCTAGCCTACGGGAGGGTACATCGTCCATAGAGATCCCAATCTCCTGAAGGTTTAGAGAGCCACACGTGCGTTTGTTTACTGGTGAGCGCTAACACGTGTGTTTGTTTACTAGTGAGTGCTGACGACACGTGCGTTTGCTTACTGGTGAGCGCTGACGACACGTGCGTTTGTTTACTGGTAAGCGCTGACGACATGTGCCCACCTGGTGCACATATACACACATGACTCACACACCTGCCTTCCAGGCCACATGTTCCAGCATGCTACATCAAAATCTCAATCAGGCAGAAATCCTAATTATCCTCAGAATCTCAAAAATTTATTGTGGCTTTGAATATTATTTTTAAATACAGAATATACAAAAAAATCCATGAGTATCAATCAATTAAATTTGACCCCCAAGAAATTTCCCGGAATTCTAAGAACGTTATAGTAACGTTTTAAGATCCTCAAGACGTTTCTAATGATATAATAAAAACACCTTAAGAGTTTCCCAAGGTGTCCTAAATACGTTTTTTTCCAGAATCAAGAATATTGTCCAGAGATTTAAACAATTTCCAGACCCCCAAGAATTTGTAAAAAGAGGTTAAAACGATTTTTTTTTAGGCATTTTCCAACTTTTAAGAATATCAAGAGATTTATTGCTCAAGGTCTCCAGAATTTAAAAAAAATATCTATGAGGTTATGCAATATTTAATTTTTGAGTTAAGCATTTGGTTAAGGATCAAATTTCCAGGGATCTCCTCCCTTCTATGAGACTTGAAGCTTCGTCAAGTAGCCCTTAGCAATTCATGATTTTTTTTCAAGATTTTGAAAAATTCACCTTTCTTACAAAATTTCAATTTTCTTGAATTTTTTTTAGACATCTGAAAATTTAGGGTCTAGAACTCAAGAATTGAAGACCCTTAAAGAACATAAAGATTCACAGAGATCAAATAATCTATTAAAAAAATGAACATAGTAATACAGAATAGCAAAGCCTTCGAGTTAAATTTAACCAGGCATAGGTTTTATGTACATATATATATATATATATATATATATATATATATATATATATATATATATATATATATATATATATATATGAGAAAAATATGTATGTTATTAAAGCAAATTACAGTTATTAGACCTACGTTCCAACTGCTGACAGCTGCCCCCTCTAACACCAGGGGGGCTATTTAGTCCTCAGACCCACCACACATCAGCGCCCAATACTACGTTTTGGGTACTTTTATTGACATTGCGCATCTCCCACTGGTATATCTTCACTACCTAGAGGGCGGCACCCCCCCTCTTCACAACCACCATTACTACCCAGGGGGGCATCGCTGCAAAACTATCACTTTTAAGGGAGTCGTTATATTTCGCGACCAATATTATCCCCCTTGCTATAACCACAAACAAGTGGGTACCACAACCCAGCCAGCACCATCACAACTACCACTATCTATCAACACTGCACTACTACTACAGCCACCACAGCTACCACCAGGGAAGCACCACAACTACCACCACATGAGAACTACCACTCCCTTACAGTAGAGCGTGAGTGTGGTGTGAGAGAGAGCAGTGTGAGAGTGAGACACAGCACGTGAGGGGTGAGCGAGAGAGCACGTGAGGGTGAGAGAGAGAGCACGTGAGAGCACGGTACGGCGGTGAATGTGGAAGCGGCAACCCATGCAGCGGGTGGTGGACCCACACCCATGTACTTATACATAAGCACACAGAAAGGTGTGGGAGTGTGTCAACACGCACCTATGGGTCTAGGGGCAGGCACACCTGTGGGTGTAGGGCAGGCACACCTGTGGGTGTAGGGGTAGGAACACCTGTGGGTGTCGGGGCAGGCACACCTGTGGGCGTAGGGCAGGCACACCTGTGGGTGTAGGGGCAGGCACACCTGTGGGTGTAGGGGCAGGCACACCTGTGGGTGTAGGGGTAGGAACACCTGTGGGTGTCGGGGCAGGCACACCTGTGGGCGTAGGGCAGGCACACCTGTGGGTGTAGGGGCAGGCACACCTGTGGGTGTAGGGGCAGGCACATCTGTGGGTGTAGGGCAGGCACACCTGTCGGTGTAGGGGCAGGCACACCTGTGGGTGTAGGGCACACCTGTGGGTGTAGGGCAGGCACACCTGTGGGTGTAGGGCAAGCACACCTGTGGGTATAGGGCAAGCACACCTGTGGGTGTAGGGCAGGCTCACCTGTGGGTGTAGGGCAGGCACACCTGTGGGTGTAGGGCAGGCACACCTGTGGGTGTAGGGGTAGGCACACCTGTGGGTGTCGGGGCAGGCACACCTGTGGGTGTAGGGCAGGCACACCTGTGGGTGTAGGGGCAGACACACCTGTGGGTGTAGGGAAGGCACACCTGTGGGTGTAGGGCAGGCACACCTGTGGGTGTAGGGGTAGGAACACCTGTGGGTGTCGGGGCAGGCACACCTGTGGGTGTAGGGCAGGCACACCTGTGGGTGTAGGGGCAGGCACACCTGTGGGTGTAGGGGCAGGCACACCTGTGGGTGTAGGGCAGGCACACCTGTGGGTGTAGGGCAGGCACACCTGTGGGTGTAGGGCAGGCACACCTGTGGGTGTAGGGCAAGCACACCTGTGGGTGTAGGGCAGGCTCACCTGTGGGTGTAGGGCAGGCACACCTGTGGGTGTAGGGCAGGCACACCTGTGGGTGTAGGGCAGGCACACCTGTGGGTGTAGGGGTAGGCACACCTGTGGGTGTCGGGGCAGGCACACCTGTGGGTGTAGGGCAGGCACACCTGTGGGTGTAGGGCAGGCACACCTGTGGGTGTAGGGGCAGGCACACCTGTGGGTGTAGGGCAGGCACACCTGTGGGTGTAGGGCAGGCTCACCTGTGGGTGTAGGGCAGGCACACCTGTGGGTGGAGGGCAGGCACACCTGTGGGTGTAGGGGTAGGCACACCTGTGGGTGTCGGGGCAGGCACAGCTGTGGGTGTAGGGCAGGCACACCTGTGGGTGTAGGGGCAGGCACACCTGTGGGTGTAGGGCAGGCACACCTGTGGGTGTAGGGGCAGGCACACCTGTGGGTGTAGGGCAGGCACACCTGTGGGTGTAGGGCAGGCTCACCTGTGGGTGTAGGGCAGGCACACCTGTGGGTGTCGGGGCAGGCACACCTGTGGGTGTAGGGCAGGCACACCTGTGGGTGTAGGGCAGGCACACCTGTGGGTGTAGGGCAGGCACACCTGTGGGTGTAGGGCAGGCACACCTGTGGGTGTAGGGGCAGGCACACCTGTGGGTGTAGGGCAGGCACACCTGTGGGTGTAGGGGCAGGCACACCTGTGGGTGTAGGGCAGGCACACCTGTGGGTGTAGGGGCAGGCACACCTGTGGGTGTAGGGCAGGCACACCTGTGGGTGTAGGGGCAGGCACACCTGTGGGTGTAGGGCAGGCACACCTGTGGGTGTAGGGGCAGGCACACCTGTGGGTGTAGGGCAGGCACACCTGTGGGTGTAGGGCAGGCACACCTGTGGGTGTAGGGGCAGGCACACCTGTGGGTGTAGGGCAGGCACACCTGTGGGTGTAGGGCAGGCACACCTGTGGGTGTAGGGCAGGCACACCTGTGGGTGTAGGGCAGGCTCACCTGTGGGTGTAGGGCAGGCACACCTGTGGGTGTCGGGGCAGGCTCACCTGTGGGTGTCGGGGCAGGCACACCTGTGGGTGTCGGGGCAGGCACACCTGTGGGTGTAGGGCAGGCACACCTGTGGGTGTAGGGGCAGGCATACCTGTGGGTGTCGGGCAGCACACCTGTGGGTGTCGGGGCAGGCACACCTGTGGGTGTAGGGCAGGCACACCTGTGGGTGTAGGGGCAGGCATACCTGTGGGTCTAGGGCAAGCACACCTGTGGGTGTAGGGCAGGCACACCTGTGGGTGTAGGGACAAGAGCACCTGTGGGTGTAGGGCAGGCACACCTGTGGGTGTAGGGCAGGCACACCTGTGGGTGTAGGGAAGGCACACCTGTGGGTGTAGGGTAGGCACACCTGTGCGTGTAGGGGCAGGAGCACCTGTGGGTGTAGGGGCAGGCGCACCTGTGGACGGAGGGGGGAAATAGGGGGGATGGGCGTGCACATATAGAACAGAACACAACGAATGTTTTCACCAGAACAGGTTTCCACCACTGCCTTTCCACTGCCCCTGGTAGGCCTTTTCCCACGCCCACGTAGGCCTATACTAGTTCACATATTGACGCTTGGATAGTTAAAACCTTTCCCAAAATTTCCACCAAGATATATTTATAAGGTGAACGGGAGTGAAATTCTGTTTTAGTATTCAAAACCATGATTTTGTCTTCAATAACACCAAGACAAGGAGTTGGCACTTTAATAATTAAACATTAATTATTAAATAATTATGATAATTAAACATTAATTGCCTAGTTCACCTTTATCGTGCTTGCAGTCCGTCATAGGGTTAGACTGCCTCGGCTCAACACCAACCTGTGCTTTCAAATGGCACACACACAGCATTTTGGTGTCAAAATCCCCCAAAACGGACAATATATGATGTACTTTAAATCATAAGTGACTCGCAAACATTCATGTTTTTCTATGCGTGGGTTTGTCGGGTAAATTAGGTTCCGCAGAACATCCTTTTACCTGTCCTCAGACCTTGTCCATTCCATCCAGCGGTCGACCCCCAAGGGCGCATTCATCAATTTTAACATCCTGTTCATTCAAAATAATAATTTACTCAAAAGTCAATTAATATTGGTACATATATTAGCATACTGTGTATATTTAGGCATTGGTTAGGTTAGGTGTTTAGGTTCTGTTGGCGATTACTTGTATTTGTAGTACGTGGGTGAAGCATTTACAGCGTTGTGGTTCGAACACAAGTCGTCAGTGAAGCACTTGTCCCGGAAGTGTTCGGACGTCATCAGTTGTGAGTCGTGTGTAAACCGTTTTTCATTCATAAACAGAGGGTTTGGCGGGTGGGTGGAATAGACTTAGGGCCTTTGTTTGGAGGACGGGCTGAGTATGAAATATTCAGCTAAAGAACCAATGGAGTACCAGTGGGTCTCTAAGGTATTGCCTATTTCCTGCTTGCTGTAGTAGTTTTGAATGCTTATGATGTGAGATTAACTAATATATATATATATGCAACAAGGATAAAAAAAGATAATCCAGTAATGGAGAATAACGGCAGTGAAACACTACACACACAAATCACAATAACGTAATGCATCAATGCGTCTGGGATGATCTCGGACGTAGGTTCGAATCCTCGTCACGGCCCTTGTGGTTTTGTTCACGACAGTGAAAGTGGAAAGGATAACAGTGATGTAGCGCTTTCAACTCTCCCGAGTCGTGATCAGCACTGTACTGAGAAAGACAAGTGTAAACATGGTACAAAGAGGACGAGGGTGGGACGGAATGTTCTCTGCGGCCAGATTCACGAAGCAGTTACGCAAGCACTTACGAACCTGTCCATCTTTTCTCAATCTTTGGCGGCTTTGTTTACAATTATTAAACAGTTAATGAGCTCCGAAGCCCCAGGAGGCTGTTTATAACAATAACAACAGTTGATTGGCAAGTTTTCATGCTTGTAAACTGTTTAATAAATGTAACCAAGGCCGTCAAAGATTGAGGAAAGATGTACACGTTCGTAAGTGCTTGCGTAACTGCTTCGTGAATCTGGCTCCTGGACGACGAGCAGCAGCAGCACAGGACGCCGCCAGATGTCTTTAACAAAGGTAAACAAGTTTGATATTCCCCCCCCCCCCACTAGTTTATGACCGCGTCCTTTCTCTAGCGAGGTTCAGGATAACGTAGTTATCCTTCCCATATACTACTGAATCATCAGGTACATCACACAAGGTGCCTGCTATCATGGTATGTGCTTTATTACCGCCCAAATGTGCCACAACCTTATGACTTCCTTCCCGGGTTGTAAGTTCTCCCCTGGAGACACCCCTCCTTGACCGGGGGAGTGAGGGGGGTTGGTGGGTTCCGTGAGGTGGGTGAGGTGCTGCTATACATGGTGAGTATTGTGAGGGACATGAGGGGGTATACTGCCCTAGGCCACAGTATTAATGTGTTTGATGGGGAGTAACAGCAGACCGAGAGGTCGGCCCTTCTGGGTGTCTCGTCTGGGTGGGCCACTCGGTCCCTCGGAGGCTGTAAAGAACACAAGTTTAACAAGACAGAAGAAAAGAATTATGTACAGAGGGAAAAAACAAACTCCCACCACAACCGCTTGTATTCCGTCCATGGCGTAAAATGGTTCTTGAGGTACTAAGGACACGCAGCTGGCTACAGCAGCAGGACCCTGAGAGACCTCAAAGTCCTTGCCTACATGGCGGGAAAGGAGGAGGAAGAAGGTAACGAGTGATATATACAAGCGGTCCCGGTGGGTGTCCCCGTGGCTTTCAAAGTGGTAGCGGGCATGTGGGAGAATCCCCCGCCCCTCCCTCCCACACTCACCCACATCTGGGCGGCGCGGCACATCCATTTTTCCCGCCCGTCTCAGGCCGCTGACCGCCTCAGACGCGCGGGAAAACAGAGAGGACCCTAGAGCACGCCACCTCGGGGCGACTCCTTCACCAACACTGCTCCATCGCAGCGTTCCTGAAGGAGTGCACCCCGAGCTGCGGCCGCCGGCCACAAGGCAGAACACATACGGCAGCAGGACAAACACTAATCAGCGTTTTTCAAAAACATATAAACACAAAAAAAAACAGACTTCGTGTCACGGAGTGATTAGTGATTTACGTAAAACCCATTAACATGACAGAACAAAAAACGAACTAAATATAGAGAAGTGAGTAGAGTCTTGGTAGCAATTGGGAGAGGAATGCCGTGGGGAAGATGTGTAGACCACGGGTGGAAAGTCGAAGAGCGGTACAGGTGTGTGGTAGCTCAAGAATAGGTGTGTAACAGGTGTGTATAACAGGTAAGGGATACGTATGGGGAGCCAGGCATAAATGGGCAGGTTGAAGGGTAAATAAAAACCAAATGACACTATCAAAAAAAAAAACTTGAAGAGGCTCAAAGCATCCTGAAAATAGCGTAGAGCGCTAAAGCCAGGAGACCACCAGTGAGAGAGAGAGAGAGAGAGAGAGAGAGAGAGAGAGAGAGAGAGAGAGAGAGAGAGAGAGAGAGAGAGAGAGAGAGAGAGAGAGAGAGAGAGAGAGAGAGAGAGAGAGAGAGAGAGAGAGAGAGAGAGAGAGAGAGAGAGAGAGAGAGAGAGAGAGAGAGAGAGAGAGAGAGAGAGAGAGAGAGAGAAAGAGAGAGAGAGAGAGAGAGAGAGAGAGAGAGAGAGAGAGAGAGAGAGAGAGAGAGAGAGAGAGAGAGAGAGAGAGAGAGAGAGAGAGAGAGAGAGAGAGAGAGAGAGAGAGAAAGAGAGAGAGAAAGAGATATAGAGAGAGAGAGGAGAGAGAGAGGAGAGAGACAGAGAGAGAGACAGAGAGAGAGAGAGAGAGAGACAGAGAGAGAGAGAGAGAGAGAGAGAGAGAGAGAGAGAGAGAGAGAGAGAGAGAGAGAGAGAGAGAGATAGAGAGAGAGAGAGAGAGCGAGAGAGAGAGAGAGATAGAGAGATGAGAGATAGAGAGAGAGAGAGAGAGAGGAAGAGAGACAGAGAGAGAGAGGAGAGAGAGGGAGAGAGAGAGAGAGAGAGAGAGAGAGAGAGAGAGAGACCAGGAGAGAGATGAGAGAGTATAGAGAGTAGAGACCAGAGATAAGGAAAGATAGAGAGATAGAGAGATTAGAGAGAGAGAGATAGAGAGAGAGTAGTAGAGAGGACCTATAGAGAGAGAGAGATAGAAGCACGTGGTGAGAGGCAGACACTTTAAGCGGTGAGAGAAGCTTAGTGAGAGACAGCCACGGGGACGAGGCAGGCGTAGTGCTATAGGACAGCAAAGCCGCACGCCACGTGGGCGCTAAGAGACACCACAACTGGACACTTACGTTCTCTGTAACTTCGCCTTGTAAGCCACACCTACTTACATCTTCATCGTGGTCAAACGCGTTGAAAACATCATATGGCAGGCACGATAACAGGTCTATCAGAAACCAGGATTTCAAATAGTTCATTCGAATGATCTTAGGATCCGACACCACCTCCCCGCCGGGGCCCACGAAGGTGGTGTGAAAGTTGAGCACTATGTCTATAAAGAATATAACGTCGACTATGGAGTCCACCACCAGCAGCGACACGTCTTCCGATGTCTTGTACTTGAAGGCCACGTTGTAGGGAACCATGATCGCGGTGTAGAAGGTGAGGCAGAGGATGACCCAGTCCCAGATAGCCTGAAAACATCACACATCATCATCATTATCATCATCATCATTATCATTATCATCATCATCATCATCATCAGCATCATCATCATCATCATCATAAGCATCATCATCATCATCATCATCATCAGCAGCATCATCATCATCATCATTATCATCATAAGCAGCAACAGCATCAGCAGAAGTTGTTAAACACAAGGGACAAAATCTTACTGAAGCGACCATACGAGTCATAAATACTCATACTCCGCCCAAGTAAAACAGAAACAAGCAACACTTAGTGGGCCAGCCAGAGGCTTAGGGCCCGCGCAGGAATATTCTTGCAAAAAAAAAAAAAAAAAAATCCTCACCATCCTCACCATAAACATCACTAATGCATTAAAAAGTTAGTGTGTCAATAATCTAATCAAATTGAATGTATTTTTATCTTTATAAAATTAACTCTAAGTTACCCTTTAGAAAATATAGTTTACTTGGAAAGATATGAGGGGTCTTTACACATTATATCCCCCCCCCACCACCCCAACCCCCGCCCCCATCAGCTTTAAACAAACCTATACAACTGGTACTTTGAGATACACAACACGAGACATACAAATATAAACATACGCTGTTAACAGTCATCTAAAATAAACAACTGAATTCTGTGCTTTTTTAACTGATGGTTTTGTGCTACGGAGCCCCAGGAAGAGCAGGTTGTTGCATGTGAGTGATTGGGCAAGCACAACAAGCTCAGATAATGGGTATTTATCAAGCCAAAGGGTTATCTTGAGATGGTCTCAATAGTAGTGGAGGAGGACCCCCACCTCGAAGGCACAGTAGTGGAGGAGGACCAACCTTGAAGGCACAGTAGTGGAGGAGGACCCACCTTGAAGGCACAGTAGTGGAGGAGGACCCACCTTGAAGGCACAGTAGTGGAGGAGGACCCACCTTGAAGGCACAGTAGTGGAGGAGGACCCCCACCTTGAAGGCACAGTAGTGGAGGGGGACCCACCTTGAAGGCACAGTAGTGGAGGAGGACCCCCACCTTGAAGGCACAGTAGTGGAGGGGGACCCACCTTGAAGGCACAGTAGTGGAGGAGGACCCCCACCTTGAAGGCACAGTAGTGGAGGGGGACCCACCTTGAAGGCACAGTAGTGGAGGGGGACCCACCTTGAAGGCACAGTAGTGGAGGGGGACCCACCTTGAAGGCACAGTAGTGGAGGAGGACCCACCTTGAAGGCACAGTAGTGGAGGGGGACCCACCTTGAAGGCACAGTAGTGGAGGAGGACCCACCTTGAAGGCACAGTAGTGGAGGGGGACCCACCTTGAAGGCACAGTAGTGGAGGAGGACCCCCCCTTGAAGGCACAGTAGTGGAGGAGGACCCACCTTGAAGGCACAGTAGTGGAGGACTCACCTTGACCACAGTAGTGGAGAGGACCCCCACCTTGAAGGCGCAGTAGTGGAGGGGGACCCACCTTGAAGGCACAGTAGTGGAGGAGGACCCCCACCTTGAAGGCACAGTAGTGGAGGAGGACCCACCTTGAAGGCACAGTAGTGGAGGGGGGACCCACCTTGAAGGCACAGTAGTGGAGTGGGGACCCACCTTGAAGGCACAGTAGTGGAGGGGGACCCACCTTGAAGGCACAGCAGTGGAGGAGGACCCACCTTGAAGGCACAGTAGTGGAGGAGGACCCACCTTGAAGGCACAGTAGTGGAGGAGGACCCACCTTGAAGGCACAGTAGTGGAGGGGGGACCCACCTTGAAGGCACAGTAGTGGAAGGGGGACCCACCTTGAAGGCACAGTAGTGGAGGGGGGACCCACCTTGAAGGCACAGTAGTGGAGGAGGATGTGAGGCGGCGTCTTGGGAGCTTCCTGGCGGTACTGGGGCATCACGTCACTGTTGAGACTCATCATCTGTTGAATAATATGGTCGTTAGTGCCTCACTTAGTGCCATCACGACTATATAGCACTGAGACGGGGTCAGAATAATGATTTGGGATCGGACGGGGGAAAGGAATGGTGCCCAACCACTTGTGGATGGTCCGGGATTGAACGCCGACCTGCATGACGCGAGACCATCACTCTATACCGTCCAGCCACAAGTGATGGGCTGGAAGAAGGTGAAGAAGACACAGCAACAGAGAGGCCTATGGTACTGTAACCACCCCCCCCTCCCTTCACCCTACGGTACTGTACTCTTAGAGAGGCCTACGGTACTGTAGCCCCCCCTCCCTTCACCCTACGGTACTGTACCCCCCTCCCTTCACCCTACGGTACTGTACTCTTAGAGAGGCCTACGGTACTGTAACAATGAGGCCTACGTGTACTCACATGGGTGATGTTGGACTGCTTGGCCACGTCCTTCATGACGGGCAGGTGGGAGGAGAACTGCGTCACCAACACCGACCTGCTCCGCGTCACAGAGCGCGCCAACTTGGCGAATTTGCTGAGTCCAGCTTGTAGGCGGAGAGAAAGAAAACTGTGTCAACACTCGCTATCCTGATGATATCACACAGAGCGCACCTCTTACACCATGCACACTACACTGTGTGTGTTTACCTAGTTGTGGTTGCACGGGTTGAGCTCTGGCTCTTTGGGCCCGCCTCTCAACTGTCAATCAATCAGCTGATTATTATTTTTTTCACACACACACACACAGACACATATATCCCCAGGAAGCAGCCCGTAGCAGCTGTCTAACTCCCAGGTACCTATTTGCTGCTAGGTGAACAGGGGGCATCAGGGTGAAAGAAACTCTGCCCATTTGTTTCCGCCTCAGCCGGGGATCGAACCCGGGCCATTAGGACTACGAATCCCGAGCGCTGTCCACTCAGCCGTCAGGCCCCTGTGTGTGTGTGTGTGTGTGTGTGTGTGTGTGTGTGTGTGTGTGTGTGTGTGTGTGTGTGTGTGTGTTGTTTGTGCAACCCGTTCTCGTGTGTGTTATTAACTACGTGGTGATATACTACCATAATAGATACCCTTAAAAAGATTCATAGAAAACTTACCTAACCTTGTTAGTATCTTAAGATAAGCATCTTATTGCTTCGTATTACTATTATTACTTACCTATACCTATTTTAGTTAGGTAATTACGAAGGAATAATTGCTTATCTTAACATACTAAGTAGGTTTAGGTAAGGTCGGTGTTTTTCTATGAAGCTTTTCAAGGAAACTATTATGTTAGTATGTCACCTATGCACATATTTATAAGTCATATTGACTTATTAAATTTGCGAGAACGAGTTGGTTTGTGAACTAGGACTAAGATCATTTACTTCATACTAATTATCAACTAAGGGGTAATTTAAGAGGAGGAAAAATTGTCGTCCTCTTTTGGTAAAATAATAACAGTAGAGCAAAGCCAAACAATACAATAGAGGGCCGCCAGTACTAGTGACATTCTTGCTAAGAATGACTAAATGTCTCAGCCAGTGGTCTGCAGGGGAGGTCTGCTGTACGAGAGGATATGGGAGCGAGGCGTGTGTGTTGTTACGGAGCCCATTCTATTTCTCTCCAAATCCGGCATTAAGGTCATATCAGCTTACCCTGCTGATTCTCTGAGATGAAAGGAGTCGGTTGATATATGTGGCGACCAAATCGGCCACCTGATATGGGAGAAATTTACATTTTTAAGTTTGTAGGTAAAGGGGGAAGTAGGGCCCTTGAGACAAACAAATTGGCGCCCCCTACCTGCAGATCTGCCATTTTGTGGAGGACGCCAGCCAGCTGCGGACTGGCTGGCTTAGGTCACGTGCCATGGGCGACCAATCAGCCTCCGCCGTGGCGTCATCGAGTGCCCCTGGAGGCGCCTGAGGAGGTGGCGTCAGAGTTGATCTGACTGTGAAAGTGAGAAGACGTGCCTCGATCAGCTCTCGAGGACTGGAGGCTCTGGGAGTCTCTCTCAGTGGGTTATAGCTAGCCATCGCAGCTCACCATTGTTACTGGAGACCCTGTGCTTCTGGGAAGCAAGAAGAAACCAAGTTTATGGGACAAAGAATTGCCAAAACTTGAGGAATCGGTCGGCGACGAAGTTGGAGGGCGCCGCCTGATGCTTGAGGGGTCTGGACGGTGTGGCGAGCAGGCTTGCTGTAACCGGGTCACATTCACGTTGGAGGGACGACACCGATCCTAGGGCAAGGAGCAACGCCTTGTGGTAGGAACAAGTGTGTGTATACAGTGATTAGCTCAGTGCCCACTGAATGGACCAGGATTGGGATATCTGAAACTCTGGGAGTGGTTCGGCGATGACGCGACGGCTTCACGACAACTGAGGACTTGCAACACGTTAGTGGATCGTCGAGAACCGACTCAGGAAGCGTGGGAACCTCACACCATCGAGGGACAGGCGTCGTGAGCCAGGAATGTTGAAGGTAGATCAAGTTTTCCTCCCATTACCCCTTGTTGAGTAGGCTAGATAGGCCACGTTATATTTATCTATACATGTTTCTGTATAACATTGATACATTAGTATTAGGATAGGCTGTAAACAAGCTTGTGTCCAGAACTGTTGAAGAGGATAATGTGTGTGGACGACGTGGCAGTTGGAGGGACGGTGGCTGACGTTGACGAAGCGGCCCCCCTGTGAGAGGGTGTGAGACCCCTTTTTGAATCTGCCCAGCTGACGGAGCTGCCAGAGGTTGTGAGAGAAGAGTAACCGACGATCTCCAGATTATATATTCTTTATGTCCAGTCCTGTATCATTATTATTGTATAGGTGATCATGTAGCTTATGTTAGGAAATATCACATATTTTATCACTGTGTTTAAGTGCGCCTCCATACTGATCTCTATGAGCATACACGAGGGATATCATAGTCCCACCTAGTGAACAGTAAGTTTTCTATAGAAGTTTCTTAGTGGCTGGAGGGTGGTAAAGCAACACAGACTTTTATGAAAGTGTACCCCTTAGTCTGGCAGTCCAGTATCAATGCTGTAGGAGTGGCAACACTTTGGCAACAAGCAACATAGTGTATACCGACTGAACTGCACTGCTGGGGTGCAGAGATATCAACCCAGCTGGCGACCTTGTTTAGAGAAATGCAGGTGGGAAAGGAATTCCTGCAACTTTTGTCTGGCAGGCAAGACCCAGGGGAAGTATTGTTAAAAGGTAAGCCTTCAATCCTCCGTGGGTCTAGGCCGGAATTAATAATAACAGTTTCCCCATGGCTGACTGAAGAGCTCCCAGGGGTGAATCTGTGGCACCCCTAGTGGTGGGAGTGAAGACCTCAGCCCCCCCACCCCGTGACAGTATATACTGTGTGGGCGAGGCGTGTGTGTGTATATACCAGGCATGTGTGTGTATGTATATATACTGTTTGGGGCAAGGAAGCAGGAGTGTAATATACTAGGTATTACACCAGGCATCTACCAGCACTATAACTATACACCCACGACCCTAGCGCATACAAGCACTATACAAAAGGCAGCCCTTGGGTCCAATCAACACCCTTCAGGGGATAACAGAGAGTAATAAAGTATGATTGTTTACAGTATTAAAAAAAAATACACAACATACAACGAACAAATGAGGCGGAGGAGAGGAGGAGGAAGGAGGGGGGAGGTCATACAGAGTTAAACATCACCAATAACTGGATATTTAGTCTAAACAAACACTTCCCTACATCAGCAGCGCCCCTTAGAGGACCCTGCACGTCAAATTGCTTCTCTAAAAATGCAACAGCTCCGGCCACAGTGGGACGATGGCTTCCGTCTCATTGACAGTAACAAGAATAAATAATCCGGATAAGGTGGCGAAGGCTGTGGGCAGCAACAATATGGCATCCGAGGTGTTATCTGCGTTGCAGTCATGGCGCTGATGGAGAGAAGTGGTTGCCATTCTGTGCCCCCAAACACAAGGAGTGAGGACTCTCAGAGGGAGGTACAGGCAAAAGGGGAGGGGGGATGCTGGCAGGGGGGGCTTCAAGTGGTGGGGGGTATGGTTAGCGTGGTGGCAGGGGGGGGCTTCAAGAGGGGGGGGGGGTATGATTAGCGTGGTGGCAGGGGGGCTATTGAGGAGCTGCAGGCCAAACACACCAACACTCCACAGACACAGTCACAAGACGTACTGTCATGGCCGCCCCCACGCGCGGTTCGCTCCCTCCTCCTCCTCTTCTTCGTCGCTACGCCCGCACACACACCCATACTTACATCGCGGTGGCCCCCCCCCCTTTTGATGAAGATTAAGCCGCCCAAGAGGTGGCACGGGCATGAATAGCCCCGTAATGGAAGCCCTAGACGCGTGGGGGAGGATATAACCAGGGTGAAGGAGGCTGCCATCATTTCCGCCTCCCGCGCGTCCTACGCCCAGATCTTAATATCATAAAACCTAGGTGGGAGCTATGCACTCAACACACAGAGTGCACAAATGGCAAGTTTGCAACGGTAGAGCGAAGGTCGCTTGGGGAGGAGGGGGGTGGGGGTGGTGGGGGGGAGGAGGGAGGGAGCACAGCGTTGGGGTGACCTTGACCCACAGAGCCCAATCGGTACCTACTTTTGGTCGGCAGCCTTCCCCCAGAGCTCTCGGTGCTGTCCGAAGCTGCAATAACACACACAAGTGATCACCACCTGCCCGCCTCCCACACTGAATACCCCCTCCAGCCGCCACACACCTCTTAAGTACCACTTCCACACCAGGTGGTACCATCAATACCTGGCCAATTACCGCCATTAATAACCAGGTATCAACCATTACTTGGTTAGATAATTACTCACTCTTGTGTCAGCTGTTATACCACACTTGTCAAATACCACCATGCGCATCTTAACTACCACTCTTGGTCAAGTACCAACCAACACCTGTGGCACCTTACCAACCACCCAGGCCAGGTGCCAGTAGCCTTGGTCAAATACCATCATTCTTGGTGAAGTTCTACCACACCTTAAACAGATACCACCATGCATAGTCAGGTAACACAACCATCCCAGGAGTTAACCACACAACCAACCAACCAACCGACCAAGTGTTGTCTCTTGACGTACGGAAGAGACTCGCACTATCTGACCTTGACGTATGTACGAAATGGCCTTGATATTCAAGTAAGTAAGTAATTATCAAAAGAAGGCACCAAGCCGGGAAGGCTATGAAGCCCCATCAAATGTGCGGAATATTCATAGGGCGCTAAATATCACTAGGAATGCTAATACAAGAACAAAAGCACATAAGGCGAACGATATAAAAAATATCCGATTCACGAAGAATTCTATCGAGGGACAAGTGACTGCGAGGGACGGTCGGGAAGCAAAACACATGTACATCCTAGAAGTCAGGACATTCAACAAGGATATGCACGACCGTAAGAGGGACAATGCAGTTTGGACAATAAGGAGCAGTGTGGGAGTCCGCATGAGTGGGTTCACCAGAATTCAGAACAGACAGAGAAAGAGAGGACGAATGGTTCTACAAGACGGTCCCAGGTGTTTGTCAGCGCATCACCCCAAAGAGTATGCCGACAGTTGAAATCACCTAACAGGAGCACAGGCTCTGGTAATGAGTTCCACAGGTGCTTAAGATCAGGAAGAGAAAGTGGGACATTTGGAGGAAGATAAATGAAACAGACTCACCGTATATCACTCACAAAGATATGGGCTGCAAAACATTGAATAGGCGACTGAAAAAAGAGCAGGACAAAGGGAATATCAGTACGAATCAAGAGAGCAGTAGAGTTATGGGTCCCAGAAAAAGCTGGAGGGGGGGGGGGGAGACAGGAATAACCCCAGAAAGAGGACACAGGAGACAGGGCAGACTGCGAAGGAAGGAGGGAAACACCAGATGGAGAACCAGGAGGAGGACCTTCTGGTTCAGAACATAAAGGAGCAAGGGGAGGTGGTGGTGGGTGTGTCCGGGTCCAAGGCCTGGAAACAGTTGTGAAATTGAGAAAGGAGGGGAGGGCGAAGAGAGGCGGAGCACAACACATGAGCGTAAGACATGCCAGCGAAATACGGGAGACGGCGGACTTGGCATCTCGCCTCAGGAAAAGACAAACGGTCACGGTGTTTCAAATTGAGGATGGCCTCAAATTTGTGGTGCATACACGCGCGGGAGAAGGCAGGATGGGTCTCACTGCAATTGATGCAGTGAGCTTGGGAAGAAGAAAGCACTCTGTCTTAGAGTGACCTGAGTCTCCACACAAGGGACACTGACAGACTGCACTTGTGCATTTGAGGGGACCATGCCCAAATTTGGCATGGTCTGGCACCAGCAAGAATGATAGAAGGCAGAAGGGTCCCTACTATCA